TACTTCAACTTTTACCAGAGTGTTTTTAAACTGCAGTATCTATACTTCTACTTACGTAACAAATGTGCGTACTTTAGACACCACTGGTGACAATGTAATTGCAATAAAGGTGGTAGAATAAAATAACAACCATTACTTGGTCTAAATAGATTCAACAATGGAGGGAGGGGGAATCTAAACAGTAGGGACTCCAGCAAACCCTGGAGAGAGCAAGAAAACCTTCCTATTAGCTGCTGATACCAAAGTCTAAGATTAATTTGACAACTCCTCCAAAAGAACAAAAACAACCCTAAAAAACACTGGAGTAGAGCTTAGTCTAAGTCAGTGTTTATGATTAAGTAAAAACTAACTGTTGGGAAAGTATTCTGTAGACTGATGAAGGAAAAGTGGAACGTTTAGGTGTCTATCTCATCCCGTACTATCAGTCAGACATAGTGGTGGAAGTGTGATGGTGTGGGACTGCTTTGCTACTTCTGATTCAATAATCAATTCTCCTCGAAAAGTATGTCCAGCAATCAAGAACCCTTTTGTAGAGCAGCTGCAGGCCTCCGGATGACTTGAAGAACAATAAAAGGAAGGTTTTGGAGTGGCCTAGTCAAAGTATGGATGTAAATCTGATGGAGAACTATCATATGCTCTACAGGGACTGATCACAGACACCGGATGGCTGCTGCTGTTGCTAAAGAGAAGGCGTTTACTTTTCCACATAGCACCAGCTTACTTTGAATGGTCCTTTTTTTCCCCTCCATAAGTGAAACTATTACTGAAAACAGTTTTTGTATTTTCCCACGTCAACTTCAGGACTTGTCTTTCATTTTGTAGATCTAAAAACAAAATTCAAAACAGTAGAAATCTGTAAGCCTTGGGTGTTAATCTCAATAAGCCAGATATGACTCAGAGAAACAAAAAAGATTTCTGTAGTACTGCAGAACAAAAAAACAGAATCCAGGGTCAAACCAGCGAAGCTTGATTTCCCTGTAAAAGGAATTGAAAGCCTTCAGTACGCTGAGCTGCTCTCGCTTCTCTCGCCGCTTTCTAATCTGCCGAACAGAGGAAGTGTTTGCCTTATGAAACATACACTCATACACATTAGTTTAAGGCTTTATTGATTATCTTTATCCTACATTCAACTTGAGTTCCTTCTTCCTTTTTGCTTTGTTTGATTGTTGTTTGAGACGAAGCCCAGCTTCAGCCCGATCAGATCAATCTGCCCTTTTCTGCTTTCTCAGTCAGACGTCACATCACTGTCAAACCTGGACCCAACACCTCATTTACTGATCTGATACTTTCCGTTTAGCTCTAAAGACCTGATGTATCCAAATAAGGGCAAAAGGCGAAGGCGAGAGGCCTCTCTGGTGTCACTGCCGTGTGTGTGTGCGTGAAAGTGAAGAGCGTGCTCAAACTACATTTTGTGTGGGGGGAGATGCAAAAGGGTGGAGCTGAAAAGCCTTCCTGGCAACGCCTGCGGTCGTCTAAGCCGAGTTCTCGGTTTAGTTTTTAGCTCACGGCTCTCGTGAAATGACTTCAACCACGTGTTGTTTAAAAGCAACCAAGCTTTACCTCCTACTGGGGGGGGGGTGGAGGTGAAAAACAGCACACTTGGAACATGATGGCAAACGGTTGCATGAGTGTGAAGCCATCAGCTCATGTAAGAGCTGAGCTCACAGAGCAACATGGAGGTGTTCAACCTGAGGCTTGTGGTTTCCTCCTCTCAGCTGACAGCAGAAAGGCAGATTTCACATCATTGGAGCCTTTTCTTTTTGACTCTTCCTCTCTAACATGCTGTGACTCTAACCTGTTAATTATTTCCACTCAGTTTCCTCTGGACGTCTTGGTTCTCAGCTTTTAGTTTGGTCTCAGATTCTGCTGCAGGGCCTCACTCTTCAACCCTCCCACTCGTTTTCATTCTACACTTCATTTTATTTCTTAAGCTTATCATTTCAAAACCAGACAATCGCAACAGAGTGATGAATCCTGATTTTTAATCTGGCTTTATGTGTTTAGGGGAAGCTAGTGTTAGCTCAAACACCCTTCGTCTTCATCACCAATATGCAACAAACTGGATTTATTATTTTATTTAGCAGCCATTATCAGTCGTAAACCAAGAAGGACACCACCTGTGTGACACAGAGCTAATTTTTTCAAAATGGCTGACCTTTTCGTTTTAAAGAGACCTTTCATATGAGCTAGATATAATTTTTTTTTTTGTTATGGATCAAAACTAAATCATGTTTCTTTATTCCATTTTTACCAAACATCTTGATAAAAATCTAACACTTCTATGAAGAGTTCAGCTGTTTTTATTTCTCTGAGTGGTGAACTCGATGAATACATCGGCCGAGCAAAGAGGCGGGAAAACAGGCTGTTTAAAAGAAGTCTGACATTTAAATAAAGCTTTTAAAATAAAACTTTACACTTTATCTTACTTTACTTCACAAACTGATGTCATAAAATAAAAGCACCAAAGTTAGACTTGAATAATTGTGGAAGAATCTTTTCACTCCAGCATGTCACTCTTTAGCTCACTGAGTGTTTGGTATATTTAATCTTATAAAAGTAGTATTTAATGTGTAAAAAAAAAAAATTGAATGAACTTAACACAACTTTATTGAATGATGTGTTATTAAGAAAGTAACGACCATTTTATTTTTATACTTTCTGCTGCTCACTGCCAACTTCTGCAACCGATACAGAAAAGAAAAGAGAAAGAAGGACTTGTTTCCTTATTTAACTCAGTTTGCATGTCATCCTCTGTCTCCCTCTCATGTTTAGCATCTAGAAGCCACTTTGGTTCTTTAAGTAAAACAGACGTTTCTGGACAAAAGGGAGATTTTTGGCTGTTATTGCGTGATCAAATATGACCCTTTCACAACTAAACAAAAACACGATTATTAGCTGAGTTTCAACCTGTCGCCATTTTAGATTTTTGTTCAGTCTTTTTGCTTTGAAGTAAAATTCTCTCACTAAACATCCTCAGCTACATGTGCGTGACTCTGATGCTTCAGTTTAATGTGAAATCAGGCAGCCTGCAGGCCTGCAGGATTTAATCAGGGCTTCTTTCTGCCCCATGCAGCAGATAACAATGAGAATAAATAAATTTGAGATGTTGTTCCGTTCAGGCTTTTGTATGTGAAACTATAACCACAGCAGTAACTAAAGCTGAGCTGTGCCTTATGGTTAAACTGGGGCTTTTTTTTGGGTTCATGTTCTGTGAGGGATAATTAAAAAGTCAGTTGAAGGCGCCACCTTATGGCCAGGATGATTAAAAATCTCACAGTTCAACTTTGTCATCAGTTTAATCTGATAAGTTAATTAAATCCCAAAAGTTCCACAAAAATAAACTGAAGACCAATAATGCCACATAAGAATTATTAAAGACTATCTTTAGTTTTTAGTGTATGTCACATAATGAGAAAGTCTAATGAGTTGAGCTTTGGTCCCAGGAGGTTTAATCTATGTAGGATTTTTGCTAAAGAAGCTAACAGTTACCAAAGCTGCATCCAAACACACTGATGGAAAGTTAAGTGGAAGGAAAATCTATAATAGATTAAGTTGATTGTGCAGAGAAGTTTGTTCCAATGTTTGGTGTGGATGGCGAAAAGTTTTTTTTTAAAGTGACAAAAAAAACGGATGCGTTCGTATTGGCTTTAGGCATCACCTTTCTCCTGTTAAGAGTCACAAAGTACAGTGGACATTATGACACAATGCAGACATGCAAGAGGCTGCTATTAAACAAATCTAGACTTCCTGAATGACTCGGCAGGAAAATGAGTTCATCTCCTCCATGCTGCAGTAATTCATGCAAAACAGAGGATCAGATGCTGCACAACATGGTTTCCAGTGATACTTTTTATTTTAAAAGTTTGTTTTATTGTTAAAATGTAATATTCTAATTAGAAATGTAATATTCCTGTTAAATAAGAGACTCCAGCTTTTTTTATATATATATATATATATATATTTTTTTTTTCTTTTAAAGATGATTTAGTCTTATTTTTCTGTCACTTAGCATTTTGAACCAAAAGGTTTTATATAAATCTTATTTGACTAGGTAATTTGCTCAAGTTGTGTGTGTGTGTATGGAAGCACTGTATATCCCCCATACACCTTTTCCTCCTTGTCTATTGTCTGTTGAGCCGATGTGTCAAGTGAATTTCTCCACTGTGAGATCAGTAAGGTCTACCTTATCATGTAAGTTAACATGTATTTGGAGTTATACGATAGAATTGAAATATAAAATGTCTGTTAAATTAATCTTTATCATGAAGTTTCATTTACTGACCTGAGTGACTTTTACCTCCAAATGTAATCATCATATACTTTTAATGCATTTGTTCTTAAATCAGACTAATAATCTGGCTCAGACTTTACTGAATCCTTTAAAAGTCTCTTTTTCCAGTCTTTAATTTATTTCAAATAAAATATTCTGTGAGGTTCTATAATAATGAGACCCAGAATCAGCAGATCTTACTGCTCCACATTAGAGAAAAAAAGAAGTGCAATCAATCATTAGTTAAAATAGGATTTTAAGAGCGAGTAGAAAACCCTATGTTGCTCATGGTAAATTTAACAACAGCTCCAGGAGATAAAATTTAAAGCCATCGCCTGTAATTTATTTATTTTTTTTATGACATGGGGATTTACCAAACTCTGACTAAACATCCTTTAAGCCACCAGTTTCCAGGGCCGCATGGTTTTCATCAATAACCAAACATCTGTAATTCTTTCCTATGACTCTGCTCTTCTGTGTTCAGTCTTTCCTTTAGCTGTGGTTTGTTATTCAGCAACAAATGCTGTGTCATCCTGCAGGCTGTCTCATTTTGCTCCTCATACAGAAAGGAGCTATTTTTAGGAACTGTTTCTGGCACACAGTATCATAAGCAGTACTCTGTTATCCATAACAACAGAAAACAAAGATTGATTACCTGCTACATCTGCTCATCTCTGGCTGCATATAAACTTTCAACAAATAATGCAAAGACTGAACAGCCAATACAGTTATTATAAAACAGACCTTTATTTTAGGTTTTAATCAAAGAAAGAAAAGAAAAAGCAAGCAGCTCCACAGCACTGCAGGTGTGGTTTTGTAGGTGTAATCAGGCAAACATAACGAAAAGAAAACAGGGAAGAACCCGAATTATGTTTTAACTGCTGTGTCTCTGGATTTGTAGATCACTCCTCTGCTTTTCAGCTCTCTCACCACACCTTAGCAGGAGGAAAAAAAGCATTAGGGTCATGAATACAGATGAGTCGATAAAACAAACCTTGCATTGGTTTTAATTACCTGGAGGAAGTCGGCCTGTCACTGACACTGCATATACACCTGGCTTGAAGTTAACTGTCAAGTAACCCCACCCCCCCAAAAAATATGGTATTTTAGCAATTTTTTTTAAAGAATGGAGACATAATTTTCCATTGAAGATTTTATGCCAAAGAATTAATAGAAAATTAGTTCAAATATAAAACAGGTCAGAAACACAAATATTAAAAGAGAGCTACTACAAACACAGCAACTGAAATGAATTCATAATTATTCTATAATGTGAGCATGTCTTTGGTCAAGTTGGGTCATTTAAATAATTTACTGCTTTTCTTTTCCAAACATTGTTGATATTAGGGCTGCAACTAACGATTATTTTGTAAATCAATTAAT